CCGTCTTCTATGAGAAGATCTTCCCGTCTTCTATGAGAAGACCTTCCCGTCTTCTATGAGAAGACCTTCCCGTCTTCTATGAGAGGACCTTCCCGTCTTCTATGCGAAGACCTTGCCATCTTCTATGAGATAACCTTCCCGTCTTCTATGAGAAGACCTTCGGGTCTTCTATGAGAAGACCTTCCCGTCTTCTATGAGAAGACCTTCTGGTCTTCTATGAGAAGACCTTCCCGTCTTCTATGAGAAGACCTTCCCGTCTTCTATGAGAAGACCTTTAGCTCTTCTATGAGAAGACCTTTAGCTCTTCTATGAGAAGACCTACGGCTCTTCTATGAGAAGACCTTTAGCTCTTCTATGAGAAGACCTACGGCTCTTCTATGAGAAGACCTTCAGCTCTTCTATGAGAAGACCTTCAGCTCTTCTATGAGAAGACCTTCAGCTCTTCTATGAGAAGACCTTCAGCTCTTCTATGAGAAGACCTTCAGCTCTTCTATGGAAGAAGACCTTTAGCTCTTCTATGGAAGAAGACCTTTAGCTCTTCTATGAGAAGACCTACGGCTCTTCTATGAGAAGACCTACGGCTCTTCTATGAGAAGACCTTTAGCTCTTCTATGAGAAGACTTTTAGCTCTTCTATGAGAAGACCTTTAGCTCTTCTATGAGAAGACCTTTAGCTCTTCTATGGAAGAAGACCTTTAGCTCTTCTATGAGAAGACCTTTAGCTCTTCTATGAGAAGACCTTTAGCTCTTCTATGAGAAACCTTTTGGCTCTTCTATGAGAAGACCTTTTGGCTCTTCTATGAGAAGACCTTCTGGCTCTTCTATGAGAAGATCTTCTGGCTCTTCTATGAGAAGACATTCGGGTCTTCTAATGAGAAGACCTTTAGCTCTTCTAGGAGAAGACCTTCAGCTCTTCTATGAGAAGACCTTTAGCTCTTCTATGAGAAGACCTTCAGCTCCTTTGTGAGAAGACCTTTAGCTCTTCTATGAGAAGACCTTTAGCTCTTCTATGAGAAGACCTTTAGCTCTTCTATAAAGGCCTTTAGCTCTTCTATGAGAAGATCTTCTGGCTCTTCTATGAGAAGACCTTTTGGCTCTTCTATGAGAATACCTTCTGGCTCTTCTATGAGAAGACCTTCTGGCTCTTCTATGAGAAGACCTTCTGGGTTTTCTATGAGAAGACCTTCTGGCTCTTCTATGAGAAGACCTTCTGGCTCTTCTATGAGAAGACCTTCTGGCTTTTCTATGAGAAGACCTTCTGGCTCTTCTATGAGAAGACCTTCTGGCTCTTATATGAGGAGACCTACTAGTCTTCTATGAGGAGACCTTCAGCTCTTCTATGAGAAGACCTTCGGATCTTCTATGAGAAGACCTTTAGCTCTTCTATGAGAAGACCTTTAGCTCTTCTATGAGAAGACCTTTAGCTATGAGAAGAACTCTTCTAATGTAAATGGCTCTTCGGCTCTTCTAATGAGAAGTGCCCTTCAGCTCTTCTAGGAGTATGCCTTCTGCTCTCTTAAGAGAAGTCCTCCTGGCCTTTTATGAGAAGATCCCTAACTCCTCTCTTTGCCTTAGCCAAGAAGACCAATTTGTAATTTTATAGAACGTCAAAAGTGAACTTCATTTATTTTTTCTGCAACAACAAAAATATTTGTATTTCCCTGACACAAGATTTATTTGTTTCTTTTCTGTGGCAGGCCAATCACAGGCCCGTCACATTTGTTTATAATAAATGGAATACTTGAGTAAATTAACATGCCAGGTATCCTTTCCACCCCCTGGATAGCAAAGAGATGCCATAGATCTCACTCAAGTGATGGCAGTCATATGGATTGGCTTCCAATACCGTTCAATGCAATTGAATGTTAAGGCAATTTCTCCAACACATCGAGATAACGATTTTCCTGATTTTCACAAATTAAGAAAATGAAAACTGAAAATTTTCTGAGAAAATTCGCTCTTTACACACCAGATCCCATTGCGTTTTTTTCGTCTGCCTTAATCCACTTGAAGTTGTTGAATATTTATGAATGTTGTGTTTTTGGTGTTGGCGTTGTTGTTGATGTTATGATTATAATTGTTGATATTGTTTCGGCTGTTGTTGTTGTTGATATTGCTGATTGCAATATGACATATAACACATTCCGATTTCAACAGTTTATTAAAGTTTTTTGTTATGGAACGAGTTTTTCCGCGTGTGTCTCTCCTTGATTTTCATGCTGTTTTGGAGTTCAACGATGAAAATTTGTAGCAACAACTCAAGGTGGGTGGTTGCCATGAATGTTGTTTGGGATTTGTTCATGACTTTGAAAAAATCGAAGAGAAATAAGAAAACATGGCAGATTGGCCAAATGTTAGATGCAATTAAATGAAATTGAAAAGATTATGGCTTCCTTGTCTAGCTAATCCAAAGTGGCGCCCAAATGAAAATTTCTGCGCATTATTGTTGAAAAGGAAGTCTATGAAAAATATTTGCATCGAATCAAAACGTATTTTTAATTACGAATAACTTGTTTTCCCCACATCTCACGAACCACATAAACCTAACCTCACTTCTTAATTGATTCTAATGCAAATTACATGTTTCGCACAATAATTTTGTTCATAAAAAAAAAACAATTTAATAATCACTTTGAACAATTAATAAATTTTAAATGGTGGCAATTAATGTCACCACCACTACATGTCCATGCTGCCAAGTCACAGACCAACCAACCAGCTCAGAGATCTATGGAGTTTAGTGTTCAAGCATTTAACATAAGACCCCTCAAGGTGGTGTTGGTCGCGGTGCTGCTAAATCCCCCCATTGATTTGTTGTGAATTTTAATGATGTGGCCAATCTTATCACAAATTGTCACAACATCAAATTGAATTTCATGTAAATTTTTTTCAGATGTATTTTTTGTTGTTATTGCTCTCTTTTTTTCCGCTGATATCGTAATTGGCCGACTGGCTTAATCCGGCCTAACTTCTGTTTTGGCGCACAGCATGAATACATTTTGATGTTTGAATTTGAATTTGGATTGAATTGAATGTTGTCGTTCGTTGCATTTGGCGAAATGCGGCTGTCAATTTGAATATTTCAAATCGCTTGTTTTGCTGGATTAGCATGTGGCTTTTTCGCGTGTACAATTGACAGACGTGAGGACGGACAAATCAATATCAAAAAAGTGAAAAGGTACAGCGATCGCTAAAAACATTTTCTAAGGGGGAATTTAAAAAAAAAAAAAAATTAAAAAGTCCAAAGAAACGTAATTTTTTTAAAGAATATTTTTTCAAGGACCAAAAATCCAAGAAACGCGGATTTTCGTAAGAAATATTTTTTCAATGACCAAAAGTCCAAGAAATGTAAATTTTTTAAAGAATATTTTTTCAAGGACCAAAAGTCCAGGAAACGTGGATTTTTTAAAGAATATTTTTTCAAGGACCAAAAGTCCAGGAAACGTGGATTTTTTAAAGAATATTTTTTCAAGGACCAAAAGTCCAGGAAACGTGGATTTTTAAAAGAATATTTTTTCAAGGACCAAAAGTCCAGGAAACGTGGATTTTTTAAAGAATATTTTTTCAAGGACCAAAAATCCAGGAAACGTGGATTTTTTAAAGAATATTTTTTCAAGGACCAAAAGTCCAGGAAACTTGGATTTTTTAAAGAATATTTTTTCAAGGACCAAAAATCCAGGAAACGTGGATTTTTTAAAGAATATTTTTTCAAGGACCAAAAGTCCAGGAAACTTGGATTTTTTAAAGAATATTTTTTCAAGGACCAAAAAAATATTTTAAAATTTTAAAGAATATTTTTTCCAGGACCAAAAGTCCAGGAAACTTGGATTTTTTAAAGAATATTTTTTCAAGGACCAAAAAAATATTTTAAAATTTTAAAGAATATTTTTTCAAGGACCAAAAATCCAGGAAACGTGGATTTTTTAAAGAATATTTTTTCAAGGACCAAAAATCCAGGAAACGTGGATTTTTTAAAGAATATTTTTTCAAGGACCAAAAATCCAGGAAACGTGGATTTTTTAAAGAATATTTTTTCAAGGACCAAAAATCCAGGAAACGTGGATTTTTTAAAGAATATTTTTTCAAGGACCAAAAATCCAGGAAGCGTGGATTTTTTAAAGAATATTTTTCAAAAATCCAGGAAACGTGGATTTTTTAAAGAATATTTTTTCAAGTACCAAAAAAATATTTTAAAATTTTAAAGAATATTTTCTCAAAGACCAAAAGTCCAGGAAACGTGGATTTTTTAAAGAATATTTTTTCAAGGACCAAAAGTCCAGGAAACGTGGATTTTTTAAAGAATATTTTTTCAAGGACCAAAAATCCAGGAAACGTGGATTTTTTAAAGAATATTTTTTCAAGGACCAAAAGTCCAGGAAACGTAGATTTTTTAAAGAATATTTTTTCAAGGACCAAAAGTCCAGGAAACGTGGATTTTTTAAAGAATATTTTTTCAAGGATCAAAAATCCAAGAAACGTGGATTTTTGTAAAGAATTTTTTTTTTCATGGACCAAAACTCCAAGAAACTTGGATTTATTAAAGAATATTTCTGCAATAACCAAGAAAACAATAATCTAGGATTTTAAAGAGTATTTTTTAAGGATCAGATAAATAATCGAATATTTTTATGAATAACCAACCGACAAAGGATCGAAAAATTTAAAGATAAATTTTTTAAGGACCAACAGACCAATAATCACGGACCTTTAAAGAATATTCCTGCAGGGACCAACAGACCAATATTCCCGGATTTTGAAGACTATTTGTCTAGGGCCATCAGGCCAATAATCGAAAATTTTGAAACATAATTTTTCAAGGACCAACAGACCAATAACCGTGGATTTAAAGGACATTTTTTCATGGATCAAAATAGAAAAGAGGATTTTTTTTAAGATATTTTATATTTTTCCAAGGATATTTTAATATTTTTCGAGGTTAATTTTCGGATGATTTATTTGTTTAAATCCTAAAATTTCCAAAAATCCTTCAATTCAACTCACCTGCTTCAAATCCATTGTGATCGTAACATATTCATAATGCCGGCCGTACTGCAAGGTGGGCGATTGCCACCACTGGTCATGCATATTATTGTGGGAAATTACCGATTCGATGGGACGATGTTTGGTCACATCAGATGAATGGGCATTACAAATACCACACTGGGTGGCCCACTTCTTGTGGGGATAGGCATCGACCAGTTTACAATATTCCTCACGGCCACTCTGGCCACAGGTGGCATTGACGGTAATCGATGCCCTGGTGGCCACATTAAACAGCTGGGGAAACAAACCACCAACATTGGGCGCCGTTTGGGAATCACTGTCTCTGTTCAGGAGACGTAGAGCTAAAACGAAAAAAGAAAATAAATAAAATTAATTTGCAAATATAATTCTCTTTTCTTTTCGCTCCCTCTCTTTGGGAGGGGGAACTGGAAACCTGTAACAATTTTTTTACAATTTAATCTAATGAAAATTACCGTCAACATAATTTACATAAATTTCTGGTTAATGGCCAAGCCTATCTGTCTTCTCATTTCGTTTGGTGGGTCTTTACTTCTGGCCTCTTCTATTAGTTAAAAATAATGTTATAAATTAGTTTAACTAAGCCACTAACTGTCAAATGTGACAGCTTGCATGCTAATAATTTTAATTGCACCGCATGCTAGTCGTCAATCTTGATTTTGTCATTTGCGGGAGATTTTCCGATGGGAGGGAGAGAGAGGCAAAAGGATGCAAATGGATTGGACAGGTACCCTCCACAGTACTATTAAAAGGAAAAACAAGTTTTTGGAATACATCTTTTCCTCGAGGTGAGTGGGGGAGAGCTTGTCTACAGGGGGGAGAGCTTATCTACGGGAGGAGATATTATCTCCTCCCAAAGAGAACAATAAAATCTTCTACGATGATACCTCCAGTTGTTTTAGGAGAAGACCTGTTGCTCTTCTGTGAGAAGACTTCCTGCTCTTCTGGGAAAATAATTTCAGCTCTTCACAGAAGAGAACCTCAGCTCTTATGCGAGAAAGCCTTTGGGTCTTCTATGGGAAGACTTAAATCTCTTTGGGGAGAGATTCTACGGCCCTTATAGAAGAAGACTTACGAATCTTCTACTGAAAAATCCTTCAGTCCGTTTAAAAGAAGACATCCAGCTACTCTAAGATCAGATTTTCAAGTATTCCTGGAGAATACCTTTAGCTCTTCTGGGAGAAATCATTTAGCTTTCTGGGAGAAGACCTTAAGATTTTCTGGTAGAAAAATTCAGTTCTTTTGAGAAAGACCTCCAGCTCTTCTTCGAAAAGACCTCCAGCTCTTCTTCAAAAAGACCTCTTCTTCGAAAATGCCTCCAGTTCTTCTTCGAAAAGACCTCCAGTTCTTCTTCGAAAAGACCTCCAGCTCTTCTGCAAGAAGACCGGGGCTCTTCTGTGAGAAGACCTTCAGCTCTTCTGTGAGAAGACCTTCAGCTCTTCTGTGAGAAGACCTTCAGCTCTTCTGTGAGAAGACCTTCAGCTCTTCTGGGAGAAGACTTTCAGCTCTTCTGGGAGAAGACCTTCAGCTCTTCTGGGAGAGAAGACCTTCAGCTCTTCTGGGAGAAGACCTTCAGCTCTTCTGGGAGAAGACCATCAGCTCTTCTGGGAGAAGACCTTCAGCTCTTCTGGGAGAAGACCTTCAGCTCTTCTGGGAGAAGACCTTCAGCTCTTCTGGGAGAGAAGAACTTCAGCTCTTCTGGGAGAAGACCTTCAGCTCTTCTGGGAGAGAAGACCTTCAGCTCTTCTGGGAGAGAAGACCTTCAGCTCTTCTGGGAGAAGACCTTCAGCTCTTCTGGGAGAGAAGACCTTCAGTTCTTCTGGGAGAGAAGACCTTCAGCTCTTCTGGGAGAGAAGACCTTCAGCTCTTCTGGGAGAGAAGACCTTCAGCTCTTCTGGGAGAGAAGACCTTCAGCTCTTCTGGGAGAAGAACTTCGGCTCTTCTGTAAGAAGACATTCCGCTCTTCTGTGAGAAGACCTTAAGCTCTTGTGGGAGAAGACCTTCAGCTCTTCTATGAGAAGACCTTCGGCTCTTCTGTGAGAAAACCACCGGTTCTTCTTTGAGAAGACCTTCAGCTCTTCTATGAGAAGACCTTCAGCTCTTCTATGAGAAGACCTTCAGCTCTTCTATGAGAAGACCTTCAGCTCTTCTACGAGAAGACCTTCAGGTCTTCTATGAGAAGACCTTCAGGTCTTCTATGAGAAGACCTTCAGGTCTTCTATGAGAAGACCTTCAGGTCTTCTATGAGAAGACCTTCAGGTCTTCTATGAGAAGACCTTCAGGTCTTCTATGAGAAGACCTTCAGGTCTTCTATGAGAAGACCTTCAGGTCTTCTATGAGAAGACCTTCAGCTCTTCTACGAGAAGACCTTCTGGTCTTCTATGAGAAGACCTTCTAGTCTTCTATGAAAAGACCGTCTAGTCTTCTATAAGAGGACCTTCTGGTCTTCTATGATAAGACATTCTGCTCTTCTCGGAGAAGACCCAGAGCTTTTCTGTGAGAAGATCTTCGGATATTCTATGAAAAGACCTTCTGGTCTTCTTTGAGAACACCTTCTAGTCATCTATGAAAAAACCTACTGGGCTTCTATGAAAAGACCTACTGGTTTTCTATTAGAAGATATGTTGGTCTTCTATTAGAGGAACTTCTGGTCTTCTATGAGAAGTCCTCCTGAATATCTGTCTCCTATGATCGAATTTGAGGCTTTGTATTGGTTTGAGTTACGCACCCAATGACAAACCTAATATACTCTATATTTATAACAACCTACCTTTTTCCTGTTCCTACTTTACTGGACCATATTGCATGACCATACTGACCAAGTAGCACACAGAAAGAAAGACAGATGGACGTACAAATTGTCCATAGCCTTAGCCAGATACCATCGAACATGTTAATGCATTAATGCCGAACTAACAGGTCCACTTATTTGTTTCTCATCCACCTTTGCCTGGCTTTGCCTGGCTATCATTAAGCTTATCCAGAGCTATGTTTAGGCTATCGCCACCAATGGCTTCTAGAAATTGTAAAGCATTCGTACAACAACATTCTGTCGTTTGATCAATTCCAAATATAAATCAACAACAACAAAAAAATTCAAACTCAAAACGAAGTGAAAACTGTTTTGTGGGCCAGTAGTGGAGTTTGCATGTCTAACTAGTCGACTGACGACTTGGCTAAAGGTGGCTTGTATTTTTTCCGTCTATCAAATAACATCGAATTTTATCTTTGGTTGTAAGTGATATATTAGCGATAAGACTTGGGAAATAACATAAACATGAATTCACGATAAGCTCATAAACGAATGAATAATGTTGCGTTTTGTTGTTGTTGGGGGGTTTTTGTTGGCCAAATATTGTTGTCCAATTTTTTGTTGCGTTTTTTGTTTTGGCCACAGAAAAAATAGCTTAAGATTGTCAAAAATCCGTTTTTAAGAAATCCAATTTATCATTATGTTTTCTGGCCAACTACTGCGTGAATGTTAGAGGGAGGCCATTTCGGCAACATGACTTGGCTGGCTACCAGTCCATGTTGTTGTGAAATTAGGCGGAACATGTGAGAGAAAAATTGCCGGCCATTTTGCGGAATTAATGCTGGCCATTATGATGTGTTAATTGGAATATAAGGGGGGATAAAAATGCTTTAAGATATATTGAAGGGGGACTCTACCCGATTTCGTTCAAATTTGGCACATTTTAATACTAGAGTCAGCCTGTGGTCAGTTTTAACCCTTCGCTGCTGTACATCCTCCACAAAAGCTCCAAATTTTGAATAATTATAATTCTAAAACCAGTAAGGAAAAGTCAAAAGTCGGCTGGGGCCGACTATATGATATCCTACACCACTATGTGTGTTTAGGGACGAAAAAGTTTATTTTGGAAATAAAGAAAAATTTGATGAAGATATATATCGAAGCTTTATACAAATCTGAACCGACCTCGAAAAAATTGGCAGAGGTATTTTCGAGTTGTATCTGATGCCCGATATCAAATATCTTTGTTGTGGAGTGCATATTAGACATATATCGGAGCTATAGCTATATCTGAACCGATTTTTTCCAAATTTTATACACTTGCTTTTACGCTGAATTCGGTCAGATGTGCCAAAATTCAGTTGATTTGGGCTTATATTAGCCATTTGGTACACAAAAACCCCGAAATCGAATGAAGATATATATGGGTGTTATATCGAATTTGGGCAACCAACCAGGTCGTCTATGATAAGACATTCAGGTGTTTTAGGCGAAGTCCTTAAGGTCTTCGAATTGAAGACCTTCTTGTCTTTTAGGAAAACACCTTTTGATCTTTTGGAGAAGATTTGTAAGGCTTCTATAAGAAAGTCTTCATCTCTATTAGGGGTAGACCTTCAGCTCTTCCACGAGAAGACCTTTTTTGGTTTTGTATTAGAAAACCTTCGTTACAATTCAAGATCTGAACCGATCTTGACAAAATGTTAAACACTTATTTCTGAGCTGTATCTGATATCTGGTACCAAAGATTATTGTTGTGGAGTGCATATTACGGACTTTAACACCAAATCGGATGAAACATATTTATATGCGAGCTATTGCCATATCTGAAACGATTTTCACCAAAATTTGAAGCACATGCTTTAGGGTTGAATTCCGTAGGAATTGCCAAAATTCAGTCCATTTGGGCTGATATTAGCCATTTGGAGCACAATAAACCTGATTTCGGATAAAGTTATATATGGGAGCTTCATCCTAATCTGATCCGACGTCGATAAAATTTTATAGAGGTATTTTTGAGCTGCATAAGTCATCTGGTTTCAAATATCTTTCTTGTGGAGTGCATATATTACGGATGTGAGGGACTTAAAACCCCAAATCGGATGAAACGTATATATGGGAGCTGTAGCTATATCTGAACCGATTTTCTCTAAATTTAAAGTACTTTCTTCTAGACTGAATTCGGCCGGATGTGCCAAAATTCAGGTAATTTGGACTGATATTGGCGATTTGGTGCACAATTAACCTAAAATCGGATAAAACACACAGGTTGAGATGGAAAAACTGCAACCAACTTCAGACTGCTGTCATTTCCAAACCACTCGTCCGACAGCTGTTAAAATTATTCCAGTGACAGCTCATTATATGGTTTACAAGCGTACAAATGCATTTTTGTGCGAATTTTCCAGAAAAAAGTTATTCGTGATGGAATTCAAGCGTTCTTTAAATTTATCTGGAAAACCACGAGTGGCTTTCGGTAGAGCACTCCAGCATTTAAATGTGAATAAATCTTTTGTGTCTCGAAACATCGCTCGTTACCGTGTTACTGGTAGCGTAGCCCGGCGTCGAGGAAGT